AAAACAGACGGCCTAATCTACGCGACCGCCGTCAACCCTTTTGACCTCGTTCACCCTGTTCACAATGGGTGCGACGAGGGCCTTAAGTGCGTCAAGATCAGCGTCCGCCGGCAGCCTCTTGAGGACGTTGGTGAGGTTGAGGCCCGGATTGCGGAAGGCCACCTTCACCAGCACCTTCTCCAGAACTCCGGCACAAATCGTGCGCGACTCGTCGGCCAGCTGCCTTGGGATCCGTTCCCGGAGTTGCTGGAGCGCCGTCGCCACGCCTTTGAAGAACAGAGTGAGCTTGGCGCTGGGTTGGAGGTTCTCGTCGGAGGAGTACCCGAAGCCTTCCACCCCCAATTGCACCAGCTCCTCTTCGATGACTGCGGCAATGTTCACGAGGCCCTCCGTCCAGAGCGCCACAGTATCTCTGAGAAGATTCTGGGTTTCGGCGGCCCTCGCCAGCAGCGCCTCGTTGGCCTTGATGTCCTTCTTCAAGTCCGCCTTCCGTTTCTTGGCGCCGTCCAACGTCTCCGTCAAGGTGGCCAGCTTCAGCTCCAGATCAGCGTTGGAATCCTTGGCGGCGCGCAGCTTTTTGCCCTTCTCGGAGAGTTGGCCCTGCAGCTCACCGTGGGCAAGGGCGTCCTTCTCGCGCTCCCGCTTGAGCGTGGCAAGCTCTTCGCCACCCACCTTCAGATCAACCTCCAACTGTGCCACCTTCCCCTCCAGCTCTTTCTTGGCGGCCTCTGCAATTGCCGCAGCATCCTTTGCCTCCTTGAGTGCCCCGCCAAGTGCTCGCTCGCGCTCGGTGAGCTCTTCCTCGTAGCTATCAAGGTTGGCCTTCCGCTGCACTAGCTCACCCTCCCGCGCGGACTGTTTCTCGGCAGCCAACCTTTGCTCCTCCTCAGCTTCGGCCTTCTCGAGAAGAAAGGCCGTGCGCTCCTCGTCGAGTCGCTCCCGCTCCTGCGCCAAGGACCAGCGAGCTTCTTGATTTTGGCCCCGGAGCTCCTCTGCACGCTTCTCCACGTCAACTCCCGCCTTCACGACAAGCGCTTCCCGGGAAGCCAGCTTGGCTTGCCGGGTGCGGTAGAGTGACAGCAGCTTCCGCAGCAGCTGCTCCTCCTTAGGCTCGCCGCTGCTGCTGCTGGGCGCGTCAACCAACGACAGCCCAGCAGAGGCGAGCACCTCCCCGTCAAAAGTCTCCCCCTCGACCGGCGCCCTGGAGCTCGAGGCCCAGGGTAGCTTGATGAAGATATTGTCACCGGCCTTCAAGTAGGCGCCGGACTGGGGCTCCTCGGAGCCAGGCTCCACAGAAGCGGCAGAGGGTTCGGCGGTCGGCGCAGCGCCCGGTGCTCCTGCGGCCTCAGGGTCGTCAGTGCGATCGCCCGACCCCTCGCCGGCTTCTGCAGTAGCAGCCCCGGCGGCCTCCTCGCCGGCGGTCTCATCAGCACCGGCACCTTCCTCGTCGGCGCCCTCTGTCTCCATTGGCCCAGCCGTAGATGGGTCTGAAGAACGAAGGAGGGAGGAAAATCAACCAAAAAAGTCCAAGAGAGGAAAAACATAAGAAGCAGAACCCAAGGGAAAATTTCTGGGCAAGTGGATTACCTGCGCCAGTTGCGGCCTCCGTCGCCGCCGGGTCAGCAGCGCAGTCCCTTGCCGGAGAGTCCCCTCTTGCCGGAGAGCGCTCCCTTGCCGGGGACTCCTCCCTTGGCGGCGCCATCGAAATAGGTGTCACTTCGGGACCAGCTTCCGGGCGCTTCTGATGAGACTGTTCTGCTCCTGCACAAGTCAACAAGCAAGATATCAACAAAGGAAAAAGCACTCAAGCGCGCCCGGCAGCAGAAGGCTAAACTACGAACTTACGCTGGGGGCTGTGCTGGGGGCTGCTTTGAGGAGTGATTGCCGGGTCCGTCAAGGTGGTCTCGGACCCGCCTCCTGCTGGCACGATGGGGTCATCCTCGATGACGATCACCACGGCCTTGGCCCTCTTCGCCGCTCTCTGGGCCAGCGTTCTGAAAAGAAAGGAGTCCAGATTGGAGCAAGTCAGATACAAGATATAAACAGCAAGATTGAAGAACTACAAGAGCACCAAAGAAACTTACTCTTCTTCCTCCTCGTCGGAGCTGAGCGCGGAAAGATCGAAGTCCGGCCCTCCTCCGGTGCGGCGAGGTGGAGGAGTAGGATCCCTTGCCCGCTTGGCGGGGGCGGTGGCGGTAACCCGAGATGATCCCGCTTCAGTTGCCGCTGTTGCGTGAGGCGCTCCCGCGGCAACACTGCTTGCCGCGGTAGAGCGCGTCGCGCGGCTCGGTGGCTGTGGAGCCGGCTGCCGCCCCGCTACGTCCCCGGCCCTGCGAAGGCGCCTTCTTGGCGGGGCCGGGGGCTCCGCCTGCGGCAAGTTTTCTGAAGGCTCGGCCTCCTCCTCGCCGGCCTCGCTCGGCTCAGCTTCGGAACCGGCAGGCTCCTCCTCGCCCATGAACTCCGCGCGTTCGGCAAGGTTTGCCGCCTCTGCAGCCTCCGCCTCCTCCACAGTAAACCCAAACACGCCCGCAGCAGCTGCGGCCGCAACCTCTTCCGCCCTAGTGGCGATGCGCTGCAGCTCCTCGTCGGTGGTGTCGCGGGTGAGGCTCTTCTGCTCGTCAGCGCGGACCGGCGCCTCCTCCAAGTTGTCGAAGAACGCTTGCACAACGTCATCCGTAGGCTCTTGCCAGGTTGGGACGATTCCGTGTGAATCAAACAACGACATCATAGCGCGGATCCGATCAAGCGAAGAGTTATTGCACAAAGGAACTACACCCCTCGGCAGTGTGAATGGATGCTGTGGATCGCGTTTGAATAACTCCAAGAGCATTGCGTCCAGCTCCAAGACGGTGAAGTTGTAATTGAGGCCCGGCCGCAGCCTCATGATGTCCGCCGAATTCTTGAATTCCCAAGCGGGCCTCCCCCTCTCCTGCAGGGGGCAATGCGGCGGCGGAGGAAATCTGCCCCGACAGCACCTACGGTGAGCCCGGCAAGTCTGAGGCGAAGAATCCTAATGGTGGCGATCTTCAGCCTCTCGTCTTCCGGGGCCAGGTTGCTCCAGTCATTGCCGCGCACTATTGGAGTTTGGCGCACGGGGTGAAGGGCTGTGGATTCTCCTCAACGATCCAACACCACTCCGCTCTCCACTCCTCCCACTTGCTGCGGAGCTCACCCTCCAAGTACGCCTCTTTCTTGCCGACTCTCGAGATCCAAGCAATCCCTCCGGCAAGCGGCTCTCCTTTCTCTACCCGAGGTATGAAGAAGTGGCGGAAAAGGGCAACACTAGGGTGGACTCCGACAAAGTTTTCGCACAAATGTGCGAAAACTGCCATGGTCAGGACAGCGTTGGGGGTGAAGTCAAGGAGGCGGAAGCCATATGTGTTCATAATATCACAGAAAAACTCCGAGAAAGGCGGGAAGAGCCCGCAGTAGAAGAATAGCGGGAAGAACGGGTACCCATTTGGAGCCAACTCCGAAGCAGCTGCCGGGAGTACCCTCGTGCGCGGATGCGCACGCGTCTCCGTCGCCCAAAAAAGGTAGAAGTACTCCCTCAGCTCCTGCACGCCGAGCTGGGGGGTGAAGATCGCCCGCTCCTTCCGCAGCGCCGCGAGCCGCTGCGCCTCGGCCGACTTCACGCCCTTGCCCTTGTCGGCTTTCGGGGCCATGGCGGAGGTGGTGGGGAAGGTCGACGGCGTTGGTGAAGCTGGTGGCAATGGGGAGCGGAGCGCTGCTCTCTCGACTTCGAGAAGAAGGGGGGGAGCGGCGGAGTTTCTTGAAGATGAAGTAGCAGCAACCAGCGAGGGGGAACGAACTGCCCCTGTTTCCTCTGCTTATAAAGAGGGACGGGGCGGACGTTTCGGCCTTTCAAATAAAGAATTACCCACGATCTCTCCCACGACGCCGCGATTGACGCGTGCCGTTACGGGGGGCGCGGTGGATACGGAGTTAGATTCGGCGTGACCCAGGCCTGCGCGTGCCCGTGCCCTGTTTTGGGCCTGGCCCAACAGCGCTCGGCACCGTGTGTGGCCCAGGCCCGGGGGCTCCTGTCGGTGTACTAGAGTAGGGGTACCCTAGTATCCCGAACTTGTGCACGGGCGTTTGCAGCGCCCCGCGGCAAGGTTGCCGGACGGCCGCCAGAGTCCTCCGTGGGTTTCTTTGGAGCCATTCAAGAACAAAGCATTCAAGATGAAGAGACAAGGCCCCGGCAAGAGGAGCTTGCCGGGAAGAGACAAGGCCCCGGCAAGAGGAGCTTGCCGGGAAGGCCAACCACGACACTTCAAGAAACTTGCCGCGATGCACCGCACGTCCCGGCAAGGTCCGGCGAGCGACAAGCTTCCGGACGCGACAAGACGACGACCCCGACAAGGTACTTGCCGGGGGCCCGCTGCCACTCTGTACTCGCGCTCCAGCGCACCCACCCGCGTGTCGCCATGAGGCTTTCTCAGGGGCGCGTGGCGGGAGCCTGTGCAGCCAGGGGTACGCGGTGGCAAGCGGAGATGAAGAGAAGGCCATCGTGGCAAACGGTGGCGCTCCTAACGGTCACTTTTTGCACTGTTTAGGCAACTTAGACAGGCATTCAATGACCTTGTCCCCTGCCGTCAGAGTTAGGTAGGGTGCACTGTGTCCACAGTCGCGGTAGCTACACCTACCGCATTCTTTTCCATTTTTACCCTTCTAGTCTACGTTGCCACCTGTCGGTGACCCCTTGAGAGTATAAAAGGAGGCCCATGCGCAACGTAGAAGGGGGTTCGGGTTCAGCTCATCCGAAACACCAAGAACACTCTCACGCTCGGTCTGGCAGCGTTCATCGCTCCTGAGCAAGAACTCAATACAATCAGACAAGCAGCAGTAGGGTTTTACGCATCCGTGCGGCCCGAAGCTGGGTAAAACTGCTCGCGTGTACCGCCTCGATCCGCTCTTTGCGCGACCTCCGCCCCCCTCCGAACCGAAAGGGGCCCGGTCCCCATAGGTGTCCGTGGACCAGTTTCCCCGACAATCACTTCTAGCTCTTTATCTTTTTCTTTTCCATGTGCAGAACAAACAGAGTCTCTCACTCTCTCCCATTCTTCCCTGCTTACAGGTTTGCTAGCCAACAAGCTAGCTATATTTACTATGGCCAATGGTAAACCATCACATTTATGCAGTATATCATCCATAATCCCCTCCAGCTGACTAGGGCATTCAGCTGCAACAACGAAAGTCCTTTTCAGAAATAATATTTTGGAGTCATTGTTGCTAAGAGGTTTCATTGGATAAACAAAGCCTTCATTTGAAGTGCAACAAAATTCAGCTACTTTGTTGATGCGTGTCGTCGTAATTATTCTACTGCCATGGAAATTCTTCGGAAGAGCACATTGTATTTGTTCCCATGCCGATTTACTCCATATGTCATCAACGACAACAAGGTACCTGTAATGCCAGTTTATGTGTAAGATTAAAGCTACAAGGGATCACACAAGGAAATGACATGAGTTGTCAAATAAAAAGCACACAAATATTAAACTGTTTGACTCTATCATTCAAAACCATCTACAAAACCACCCTCAGAATCTGAATTGACTGATTTTGACATTTGAGGGCTGCAAATTAAACAGTCTTGAATTGAGATGTAGCTAATTTAGACATATCAACATTTGAGAAACCAAAAGTAGTTTTTTTTCTATTCATATGGTCTGTTATGTTCTGTTCTATAGAATCACACTGCTGCATCCTTTATCAATAAAGAGGCAAGCACTTAAATCTGGTTGATGCATTTTGACCTCTGGGCCAGAGTGTGATTAATGGTTAGGATACTCCTGATGCGAGGAATCCAACAGCTATAGAGGACTGTTACCGCCTGGCTCAGGCCATTGCAGCCTTGCACGGTGACCCAGTGGTTGCCTGTCAGACTCCAAATTTCTCCCTGATGTAGCGCTTTGAGTCAATAAAAACTCCTACCAGGAAAAGTATATCGTTTGATCTAATGAAAAAAAAAGAAAAAGTATATCCTCTAAACAATAATCCCCATAAAAAAAGAGCAGGGGAGAATCTATATAGAAATGGAGAAGAAACATGTTATTGCAAATTTGCTCCCTAAAGCCTTTCTGGGATTTGCATTGGCATCAGAATCATTTTTGTGATGATATATTACCTTTTTTTCTGTTGAGTTATGTTTTATAGTAAATGAAGACTACCAGTTAGTGCTTATTGGCCGTTGTTTCATTGAAGGGGGGCCTGCTCTTCTCATAAATACTGTGGTGAACTGGCAGTGCCATCTAATTTTGTACAGAAAATATCATACCATCATATCAATAGAGAGAATGTTACCATATCAATTTGTCCTTTTAAGTTTCTAATCTAGTTTATTTGTGGCAATTAAACCCATGAAATACAAAAAAAATTGTATAGATGAAATACTTTAGTTACTGTAGTAACACATGTGTACACCAATTTGAGCAGTTTACCTTTTGTTTTCAAGATGTGCTCTTAGCCTTTCGATAAGATGCCGCTCACTGCATGATCTTGTTGCCAGGTATTTGTCAGATTTTCTGTCATTGTTCTCAATTTCCGCTAGCAAATCCTTCAGGATGTTAACCATGATAGGCTTCCGCGATACAGAGACAAAAGCAGAACAGGAAAATCTGCCTTTAATTTTCTGGTACACCTGATTAGCAAGAGTAGTTTTGCCTGAACCTCTAGACCCAACAATAGAGACAACCCTGCGCTGCTTCACCGGATCACTCTCTTGATCGATGAACCGACTGATTAATTCTTCGCTTGGACCCTCAACAGCCACAAGCTTCTCCGCCTCCACATAGAGTGCTGGCAAGCGGGGATCAATCTCCGTGTGCATAACACCAGGATTGCAGTCATCGATCTTGTACTTCAGATGCCGCTCGTATGTTCCGTTCACAAGGGCCTTGAGTTGCCGGATCTGATTGGCAACTTATGGCGATATGTAAGTTTCTTCAGCTTCCGCATGCTCTTGCGGACGAGTCCCTTGATGCCGGCGACACTCCCGGGTGGTTCATGATCTACATGATGCATGAAAAGGTCGATGCAGTCCTCGATGTTATACGCCGCTTCCCGCAAATCGTTCATCCAGGCGCTGACTTGTTGCACGTCCGGATTCTCCATCATGGCATACTTCTCCAGGGTGATATTGATGGTAATCAGCTCTCTCCTGAGAGACTCCACCTTCTTCTTGACGCCCTTTGACCTTGGAAAACTCCTCCATGAGCTTGCTGAGCTTGCCGAGGAGTGGACCAATCACCCCGGTGAAAGCACTCACCATGATTTTCTCTCCAACCCCTGCCATCAACCCTCCTCCCCACTCCTCTCTATGTTTAGTGGCTGGATTGTGATGTGGTAGAGGAACTAAACTGTACCAGGGATATTGCAACACGATGTGAAGTTGTCCTGGAAAGTAGTCAATAGATCCTTTGCCTCTCCTTATGATACGGCAATCACACGTTTTTCGAAGCTTGGCCATCAAGATGTGCAGAAAGTCAATGCGTTGAAGTGGGGTAAGCCTTGGAAGGTACATCTAGTTTGATTAATCTTATCCCCACTACACCCGGGGCAAAATAAAGATATGCCAATCTACGTTATTAACTTCACTGAACCAGCTTCAATTGCATTCAGATTGGCTGAAACCCCACCCACTCACCCAACACCTGAACACCATGCCATGTCAGCAAATCCATCGCTATCAGCGCTCCCTAAACTGCAGCCCCTCTATACTTATAAGAGCATCTAGAGCTTCCTCTACAAGTGCTTATAGGGGCCGTTCCAATAAATTTACTAGGTTTCACATGTGTGTTGCTGTAGCAATTATCATATAAATCCTCCCCTGTGCTTTGTCTGGCATATGTGCTGTCAGTGGCTAATATCTCTCCCTTTCTCTCTCGCGTGCACAAGACACCAACGACAGCGCCGAGGCGGTGGTGCTGTGGCTGGCCGGCGGTGAGGCGGTGAGGCGGGCCCGGCGGTGAGGTGGTAGTGGGCGGCCGAGAGCGGACAGCGGCGAGGTGGACATTGGTGAGGCATGGGACAAGCAAGTGATGCACTGCTCGCCTACAAAATTCTGGCCATCAAGCTTTGCCGCACTGCCTGTGTGTTAAAAGAATGGAGCAAGAACCATTTTAGTGATGCTAGGATCCAGTTCCACATGGCGGAAGCAAACCTGCGCAAACAACTGAAGCTGCGCCTGCTAGGACTAGCTGTCATCGAGAGAGCGAGAAAGCGTCAAACTTCCTGCATTTCATGGCTGAGGGGTGGTGACGCCAACACAAAAATATTCCACGCAAAGATCAACTCCCGTCGGAGGAAGAATTTCATCCATGCCCTCAAGCAAAGAGAGGAGATCGTCACTGCACATAAGGATAAAGATGAGGTCATCCATGACTATTTTTCTCAAATTATTGAATCATGGGAGCCGAGAGAAATATAAATCAATTGGACTGAGCTACAAATGCCTGCACTGGATGCTGACGGCCTAGACCTACCATTTACCGAGGCTAAAGTTTGGAATGGAATTAAGCTCACCCCTGCAGAAAAATCGCCACCGCCAGATTAGTTTCACTGGTATGTTCTTGAGAGCTTGCTGGAGTATCAAGGGAGACATCATGCACCCAAGAAAGATGGTCCTCTCAATGTCTCATACTTCCTGAGAAGGACAACACTTTGATCTCCATTTTTCTTGAGGAGGTAGAGCTGAATGTGTTTGATCGTGTTCTGGCTGGAGATGCTGAGCTTAGGAAGAAGCAAAGAAAAATGGAGATACTTCCTTGGGCGATGGCCGGACTTGCCAGTTCTGGTCCGATCATTGGCTGCATGGTCAGACCGTTGCCGAGATTGCGCCGACATTGCTGCTTCACATCCCACGCAGACGTAGACGCAGCAGATCAGTGCGTGATGGGATCATGGACCGGACCTGGATCCGCGACATCCATGGCTCTCTGGGACCGGCCGCCACGATCAAGTACTTTGATCTTTGGCGGCATATTCAGCAGGTCCAACTCTCTGACGCGCCCGACAAAATCTCCTGGAAGTGGACTCAAAGCGGGAAATATTCAACTTCTTCGGCCTACAAAGCCCTCTTCCTAGGCTCCACCACCGCGCCTAACTGGCGACCCATTTGGAGGTGCTGGGCGCCGACGAACGCCAAGTTCTTTCTATGGCTAGTTTCCCTGGACCGCCGCTGGTCTGCGGAACGAAGAGCGCGCCACGGCCTGCCTCACGAATTCACGATCCCCATTGCAAGCTGTGTGACCAAGAGTTCGAGACCATGGATCACTTGCTTGTTCAATGCGTCTTCTCGAGGATCACTTGGCACGAGATCTTATCCTGGTGTCGCCTCCTGGTGCCCCTGCCCGATGCCAACTCGTCCTTCTTCGCATGATGGTCCGCCTCGTTGGCTGCTTCTCCGGCAAGCCTGAGGAAAGGCCTCAACTCCCTTGTAGCTCTCACATCTGGAAGCATCGCAATGCCGCTCTCTTCGATGACCTCCGACCATCTACCGACGCCCTTGTCCACACCATCAAGGAGGAAGCCCGGCTTTGGTCCAAAGCCGGCGCCCTAGGCTTAGCACTTATAATCCCTGTAACCTAGATCGTGTGTACAAAGGCTGAGCATCGTTCCTCATGCT